TTTATAGATATTTGGTTCCTTAACTTTGCTTAAAACCAATTATTTAGCCCTTTGAAGTGTGTGAAGTGCCTTACAATTTCTACTATATTTATTCATGCTTTATTACATGAGGTCAGGCTGAAAGACGGAGTCTTGTTCAAGACCATGGACACATTCTGGTCCCTTTTCTTTGATCCTGCTACTTATATCTTGAGCTCTTGATCATCATTCTCAGGTTAGCAGAGAGAACTATTTTGAGAGCTGTTTCCCCCCCAGTTCAACTGGATATATGAGGTTTATTTGTTGCCTGGAAAACAAGGATATGTACATGGGAATCTTATAATTCCTATTGTTTCAAGGCACATGCCTATCTGTGGGCTACGATCCTATGTACAATCAAACCTGGAAGTGAACCCCATTAAGGTCAGTATGGTTTAGTTTTGAGTAGACATGTATAGGGGTGCCTTTTTTGTGATACACTGGTTTTTTCCCCTTGATTCCTCTATGTGATGGGCTTCACACAGACAATGTTTCCTGCTGTGTGCAGCCCATTCTAAATCTTTCCATGGGAGCTGTAGTCAATTTAAGGTTATTTCCTTTCACTCATTACACAAGACAACTGTGCTCAGGGTGCAAAACGTGAGGACAAACTGGGGATCTTTTAATTCTGGCCTGCAACGGGTGTGTGACCTTTTAGTTTTATCTTTTTCTCCCTTCTCTCCCTCCCTTTCTCCTTTCCCCACTCTGCTCACTATATTGCAGTAAGAGAGGAAGTTAAACCTAGGTTTGACAGGTAGAGTGTTTTATTTCCCTTGACAGTGCACCTCTTGACCTCTATCTTCTTGCCAATGATTTTTTAAATCCTAAATGATTTGGGAATAATTGCTCCTCCTTTAGTGATTATTGCCCTTCACCGATAGTAAATCTGTGAAATCCCAGGGGGTTGGAGTACATTTTTGTATGCGTATGCCACAAGCTGGCCTGGATAGGCACTGCTGCTCATGTGCGGCTGCACTTTCAATGTGGAGGGTCTTCCTGCATTAAAACTTCGGCACAGACAAAATGAAATACTTCATAAGTAGATGAAGAGATTTGATTCTTAAGTGCCCCGTTTTACAGAAATTTACCATGGAACTCTTATAAACAATAGGAAAACCGTGTTTTCTAGGATTGCAAATTAAAGCAACATTACTTGTTGTTGCGTGTTGAGCACTGATTTGTTGCCACAACTTATTTCATTATAAAACAGTATCTTTGTTATCTTTTTGTTATTTTTTAAAATTGTGTCAGAAGCGACTTAAGAAACCACAAGTTGCTTCTGGAGTGAGAAAATTGGCCATCTGCAGACATGTTGCCCAGGGGACATCCAGGTATGTTACCATCCTGTGGGAGGCTTCTCTCATGTCCCTGCATGGGAAGCTGGAGCTGACAGATGGGAGCTCACCCCATCTTGTGGACTTAAATCGCCAACCTTCAGGTCAGCAGTTCAGCCAGCACAAGGGTTTAACCCATTGCACCACCACGGTTTTGTTATTTCAAAAAAATGAGAGAATTGTAAGAGAATGGTACGATACTTGTGGAAAATACTGTCACAGTGCTCTTAAGAAAAACAACCCCAAAAAGCAACTAAATAAGACTACATACTAACACAAGAAGGCAGATTTGTACACACGTGATATGAGACTTTGGAAATTTAATGTTGTTAAGACTTTTATTGCACTTATATTAGAGTAAATACCTTATTTGTACATCATTGACTAGGATCTTGTCAGTGAAATTAGCAAGCGCAAACCTAACATATGTCTGTGCAAACCTCTTTTTGGTCATTAACAGGTTAGTGCTTTTTTTCTATATGCTATGATGAAATCCCTTCATGGACTGCCTGTTTTGCTACTGTAACCTACCTTCTATGGCCACTCAGTGGCTGGTAGAAAACAGGGTGATTGTGGGGAGAATCAGAGAATACACTGCCTTGGTGGAGTCACCTCTGGAGGTTTTTAAATAGAGGCTGGATGGCCATCTGCTGGGAGTGGTTTGATTGTGTTTTCTGCATAACATGGAGTTGAACTGGATGGCCCTTATGATCTCTTTCAACTTTGTGATTGTCTATAGGTGTAGGCTTGAGTTCCCATTAAACACACACTTCAGCACTGATCCTGTTAAGCCAGTTTATTTTATCGTGTCAGAAGCAAATTGAGAATATAGTCACAATGTATAAAAAACCACAAACAAAGTTAAAAACATGGCATTAAACTAAATTTCCTTTGACCAGAAGCTGACCACTTGGAATGCCTCTAGTGTTGCTGTGAGAAGGTCCACCAATGTGCATGTGGCAGGGCTCAGACTGCATTGTAGTAAGTGGTCTGTGGTTTGCTCTCTTCCACACTCACATGTTGTGGACTCCATTTTGTAGTCCCATTTCTTAAGATTGGCTCTGCATCTCTGTTCAGCGCCTTCCAAGTCGCCCAGTCTTCTGTGTGTCCAGGAGGACGTTTCTCATCTGGGATCAGTCATTGATTGATGTTCCAGGTTTTAGCCTGCCATTTTTGGACTCTCACTTGCTGAGGTGTTCCTGTGAATATCTCTGTAGATCTTAGGAAGCTGTTTCTTGATTTAAGTTGTTGGCATGCTATCCAAACACATGATGGGTCAGAGATGTTCATGCCTTGATCCTTCAATTGCTGGCTGCCACTTCCCAGCAGATATCAGGTGGTACAGTACTGGCTAAACAGTATAATTTCTCCAGCTGTGTAGGACGTGGACATCCTGTGATAATGTGACATATCTCTTTAAGAGCCAAATCCACTGTTTTAATGTGGTGAGATGCATTTCATACTAAAACTGTTAAGCCAGTTTCAGCAGGTTATCTAACTAATGAAGGCGGGGCATGGGTTGTTCTTCTTAATGAATGTATGGAATGGCAAAAGGTTCATCAATCATCGTAGCAAGAGCAATTCGGAAGAAAATCCTTGATCAAGAAGAAAATCCTTGATCTTCTGTAGAGTCCTACATCTACAGAAACTGATTCAAAATCAAGGGTTGCATTCAGGTCTTTATGAACTTTAAGCTGAAGCAACAGCAGGATATTAACACTGAACCATTCATCTAAAATTCCTATTTATGCCACTGAGTTATATAGYTTCCTGTGAAATGTGATCAGACATAGAGGYAAMRATACCAATARGAACTGTAATTTCATTCTTCTCTACAAATGTTGATTTCTGACTGTTCCCAAAATGTTTCCMCAGTAATAAATCAACGTCRKGTAAGTTTATGTGACAATAGTACCCTGYACTTTGGCTGATCAAGAAAGRAAGAAAAAACAAAATGCAACACTCCCCCCCCCMAAAAAAAAAAGGGGGTACCAAGCTAAAATTCATKAGAAGGTATATCTCACTAAAATTCATTCTGGCATTATTAGAATGCWGGAACTGGAAAATACCAAGCATAAAAAAATCATATGAAGTGAATAGRGGTAGGACACAGCATTAGTGRGACTAGGGGTGCATCTGCACTGTAGAATTTGACATACATGGTTCAGTGCTATGGAATCATAGGTGTAGYCTTTAGCCTTCTCTTCCGAAGAGTGCTGGCGCTTCACCAAACTCCAACTTCTGAAATTCCATGGCATTGARCTGGAGCAGTTCAAGTAGTATCAMTCTGTGTTAATTCTGCAGTGTAGAGTCCTGGTTCCCTTCAGGGAAAGAGGGCAGGTTAAAAAATAAATACATTATTATTATTATTATTATTATTATTATTATTATTATTATTATTATTATTATTATTAGAGGCATCCATGAACACTTTATCTATGCAGCATGCTGGGTGTAGTTTGTTCAACACAGAGTCAATAGTTGGTATATGTGATACCCAGATGAACCTGTCTTCTTTGTTTATCATGTTTTTCCACCCAGTAACTATCCATATTCAAGGAGTATAGTGAAACTCTTCAAGATTTTTGTTTGTTTTTAGCCTGACTTAGTGGGCAAAGCTTGCTAAACTTGAACGACTTGCTTTCAGTACTAAATGCGATCAGAGAAAAACTTCAGGTTTTTTTTTCAACTGGCTGTGCAAAACGTAGAGCATCAACAGAAACATGTTGTCAAGTCAATACTTTTTCTATTACCCCAAATCCCATTGCTCCAAATCTTTCCCCATTTCCACAATATGCTGATAATTGATTCTTGCTGCATGGTGAACAATATGACTCTGTTCGGTGATGACGGAAAGCACATAACTCTACAAAAGAAGATTGGCTGTTGGAAAGAAAAGGGAATAAGAATACTTTGCAATAAATAGGGCAAACTCAAGCTATTTTTCTGACTAAAGCAAATAAGATGTGCACAATCTAAATGAATTGGTACTTGACCATTTTTAAATACTCATAGTGGGATAACCCCAACTATTAGACCTGAGGGCAGTCTCATTTGAGGGTCACAGGGTACACTGTGTGGCAAACGGTTGCTTTCCACAATACTTTGATGCTGCTTTCTAAGCCAACTGCTTCATATTGTCTCATAGTTGCACTATCCCTGAGAATGAAATCCATAACATTGAACCAATTAGATTTTGAAAGACATAATGGTGATATTTTGAAATAGCAACATACCTATGGAATTGTGTTAAAAACTAGATTCTTCTCGTGGTTGTCTCAAAAAAGGTCTCCTATATATTTTAAGGATTCCAAGATGATGCTCTCATTCCCATATATTGCAAACATGATATTTTCTGTTTTATCTTTCTGATTGTTTAACTAAAGCACAATAAATATCTCCCTGGATGCCTTTCATATTTCCTCTATGTCTAGTGCTTTGGCTATAGAGTCCTTGTAGGTGGACGCTGAATTATATCCTGGGTACGTTGACTTTTAATCAATACGGTGACAATATTATCTTGTTTAATTTGTATGATGGTGGTATTAAACATCAAAACAGGCAGTTTATTATGTCAAGTAAGATGAAATAGGACAGGAATCAAATACACTTGACATCAATTTTGTCTGTATTTCATTGCTGTGACAGGCCATCATGATTGGGGATGATATTGTACATGACGTCGGAGGTGCCCAACAATGCGGCATGAAAGCTCTACAAGTACGGACTGGAAAATACAGGTCAGTGGATGTTCAATGTGCCTTATGCCTTGTACAACTACTGATGGCAATAACAGAGTGTAACACAGTTTGTGATTTTATGTGTCTGTTTTTCTCCATTGTCTTCCTCCATGACTCTACAGAATTGTCATGGAGGCTTTATAATATGTGGCTTTATAATGGTAGGAAAGGAGTTTTGCCACTTCGTAAAATACAATGTTAAAATGCATTTTGTCTGTATTTTATTTCTAGCTCTTTTATGTCCTAAGCTTCTTCCAAAAGTGGGACTATGTGAGGTTCACAGTAGCCAAAGCAGGTGCAGGTATTAATACACTGAGTTACAGAATTACAATAGAATAAAATATAATGGTGAAACATAAATTACTTAAACAGCACTGGTAAAAGAAAAATGCAGTACCTACCCACTAAAATATAATTTTCTTAGTAACTATTGTGGATAGTAAAGAGAGAAGGTTCGTCTTCACAGGTCATCTAGATTAGCAGAGAGAGAGAAAAAATCTAGCAATAGGTAACACCTGAGAACTTAATATATAAGGAACTCAAGTTTGGCACCTTGTTGCTGGCACTTGGAGCTGTGACCTTGGGCTGTTGCTTATTTTGGATTCGTGATCTCTTGGACTCTGGCTCTGGGGATTTGGGATTGACCTTGGATTCTAGACTCTCTTGGATTTGGCTTTAGATGTTGGAATGGACTATCAGCTTCTCTGATGTGTTATCCTGCTGTTGTTGCCTCTCACCTGGACTATTTGGCTTGAACTCGGACCATTTATTCACTCCCCACTTAAAAACGGGTTCAAGGTTCATGACAGTAACTAGTCATTTGCCAAACCATGTCCAGAACATGAACAACTGCTTAATGTTCTGGATAGTGAATAGTTTCTTCCTTAGAGAGCAGTCAGTCGTGGAAAGCCTACTTGAATCAAAAGGTGTAATCTGCTATTTGAAAGACAATGGGAAGCCCAGAACTCAAAAAGGAATTCTTTCAGTGTCCATCTCTGCCCCATCAGCCTTATGGGTGCATTTGGTGGAAAGAAAGGAGAAGGTTTACTTAGTGGTTGATCCTAGGCTCCTGGAAATTTAAGCTCCTTCCACACAGCTGAATAAAATCCTAAGTTACTTGCCTGGAGGCAGGTTATAAATAAAGATGGTGGTCCAATATGAACCGCCCTGAGTCGCCTGCGAGCTGATATGGGCGGGATATAAATAATGTAAATAAATAAATAAATAAATATGAAGGTGATTTCCCCCATATCTTCTTCCCCTCTTCCTCCACCTGTTCTTCCTTCTTCTTCTGGAGGCCCGTGTTATGAACTGGTAGAACTGCTTGTTTGGCTGCCAGAAAACCTGTAATTGCCCTCTGGCCTTGAGGAAGCTTATGTGATATATTAGCACCTTTATGCGCTGCAAGAGCTGGGTGTGCGTTCAGACCTTTTCCAAACCTTTCATAAACTTCAGTGGATGCATCATGGGGGTTATTAAGATGAATGAGCACAATCAAGACTCAATAAAGCTTTCATGCTTCCATCAGCATTTTATGGACCAGAAAATTATTTTACATACCTTCTAATAACTGCTTTTTGGTTAATTTATTTATTACCCTTATAATACATTCTTCCCACAAAGCCAATTCTGGCTAAAATTTCTAAAACGAAGCATTCCTTCATCATTACTTTAAATCTTAGAATATATCTTAGTTACTTTTCTTTTGTTGTTGCATGCCTTCAAGTCATTTATGACTTAAAGCCAACCAGAGGTGACATATCACAGATTTTTCTTGTTCAGGGTTTGTGGGTTCCTTTGTCTTCCTTTCAGGTTTGAAAGAGTGTGACTTGCCCAAGGTCACCCAGTTGGATTTTGTGGCCGAGCAAGGATTCAAAACCTAGTCTCTAGAGTTGTATTTCAGTGCTCAAACCACTAAGGTGTTATAAGATTAACCATAACACTATGTAACACAATTTTTGTTCCTGGGTTATAAATGTCATTTCCTAATTGGTTCTATTATAAAACATGGAATAAGTTTATTAAACTGCAAAAACTTTATTTTTGCGGGACATCCTGCAGCACATTGTTCTATGGTTTTCCAATGAATATCTGCTAAGAGTCTCAACCAATTTGACAAAGTTTGTGGCAGTCACAAAAATGAAGTTTCTGGAATATAACAACTACTCTCAAAGTATGTACGGCACAATTAAACAGGAATAACACTTTTAAACCAAGTACAAAAAAGTTTCCAAATTTTGTTACATAATGTAATGGGATCGTTCAGAGGAGGTCTTCTTCTGAATCAAGCCAATACACTGCAAAGAAATGGAATGTTTCTATGTACAAATACCCCTCACACAATTTTGTTTTTCTATCAAGCACAAACTATCTTCTATATTTCTCTTGGATAATTTGTGAACTACCCTATCAGGCCCGTAGCCAGGATTTCGTTTCGGGGGGGGGGGGGGTTTTTTTTCATTGGGGGGGTTTCGGGGGGGGGGGCTGAGTTTCGGGGTGGGGGCTGAGTCTGAGTGAAAGAGGGTCTAGCCTAGCAAACCTTTTGTATCATTACCCCAATACCCCCATGCATATGGGATATATTGAGTATGGTGATCAGATCATGATATGAATAAACATAACAGTTTAAATAATGCACCAGTAAGGCCTTTTAGTGAACCACCATGAGAATTTCGGGGGGGGGGGGGGGGGGGGGGGGCTGAAGCCCCCCAAGCCCCCCCCCCCCCCCGGCTACATGCCTGTACCCTATGGAATATGTAGATGTAGCAGCTTCTATTTATGAATGTTCATTGCTGGATGTAGATGTGTGTTCACTTAAAGATTTGCAAAGTTCAACGCATCTAAAACCTAGAACATTATCATATGTTGGTTTGCTGGTGTCCAAGCAAATTTAACAGGAAGACATCTGTTAAATTTGCTTGGACAAATTTAACAGATGTCATTCTGGAAGTAAGACATGTGTGTTTCAAGACGGTTGTGATTTTGTCCAGCATTGCATATTAGGAAATTGTGAGTTGTCCTGATTGGATTAACACTTAGAAGTTACATATTTTGATTCCCCATTGAAACATTAAACTCACACAGTGATCTTGCGCCAGTCCTTCTTAGGCCGTTTCTATACTGCTGTGTAATCCAATTCAAAGCAGATAATCTGGATTTTATATGTCAGTGTAGAAAGGCCCTAAGTCTAACCTACTCCATAGTTTGTTGTGAGGATAAAAGGAGGAAGAAGAAAACTATGAACACTACTTGAGTTATATAGAGGAAAGGCAAATATGAAACAGTAACTATCATAACAACGATTAGATTCTACTATTAGATTCTACTTCGGCCCCTTCTACACTGCCATGTAAAATCCAGATTATCCGCTTTGCACTGCATTATATAGCAGTGTAGACTCATATAACCCAGTTCAAAGCAGAATTGGATTATATGAGTATATAAAGCAACTGGAAATATGTGCCTATAGTAAAAAAAAAATCTAATTTACCAATCTACTGACCTCTAATATTATTAAAAATGTGTAAAAAGGACTTATGGGAAGTTCTGCACATAGTAGAGGAAGGGCTTAAATGCTTACTACTTGGCAAAGCTCCATCTACTATAACACATGATGTAATTTGAAATTCCATTACAGTTAACTTCATTATATATACTGACCGTATGCTGCAGTTTCAAGCTTAATTGTGTGGCAGTTTAGATGGGACCTTAGTTCTAAAACCCAGAAAGATATACAAGATGAAAACTTCACTATTTTTCAACAGGATGGATGTGAAAGAATTCCTTTGCAGAAGGAGAGACGATAAACAAAGATAGCTTGGTGTATAGTATCTAAAAATCAAGCATAATTTTTGAAGAACTTATGTATATAAAATACAGGACAAAATTAATGCAATGCACAAAATGAAGATTGTATTGCAAGCAAAAAGACTATATTTCGTGTTGAATTCTGAATCAATACTGCATATAGAAAGTGCTTTTGAGAGAAAGAAGTGTCATATATTTTAGTGCCTTTAGATGGTGCCATTAGTACGTTTACTGCAGCTTTGAGTGAAATTCTTTTCTAGAGACTTGCGCAGCATTGGAGGAAGGCTTAGAGATGGTTCATTATAAGTGAAGTCTACAGTATGAAATTTTTTCAGAACTTTGAAACTTTGCCTTTATACTACAGCTCCCTGACATTCTCCATATCTGGCTATATTAGGCTGAGAGTTAGTGACTTTACCAAGATGTATTTTCCTGATCCAAGGCTTGTAGGACCTAATATACATAGCAATTAGCAATTTCTCAATTATGAGCTGGAGTAAGGAAACTGTAATGTTTAAAGTGCTGTAAAATAAGGGAATAAGTTTGTAGGAGAGCTCAAGAAGATAATTTGAAATCTTCAGATGGAAAACCGAATCATGAAGTGGAGATCTGGTCTGGTCATTTCACTGATACAATAGGTAGGTACAGGATGAGAAGACAAAGTGTTTCCTTTTTAGAAACTTGCCAAGGCACTGTCCTCTTTGCAACTGAAACTGATCCAGTCACAGAGAGTTTTATTAACCATTTTTGGTGGTTTCTACTGTGCTTTATGAGAGCATGTGAGAGGGTTGCTGCAACCCTCATTCATATCTGATTGTTTTCCATTTACAGTAGAGTCTTGCTTATCCAACCTTCGCTCATCCAATGTTCTGTATTATCCAACGCAGTCTGTCTCCCACCCGAATCGAGAGCTGTTTCAATACATTGCGATGTTTTGATGCTAAATTTAGTAAATACAGTATTTACTACATAACATTACTGTGTATTGATCTGCTTTTTCTGTCCATTTGTTGTAAAGCATAATATTTTGGTACTTAATTTGTAAAATCATGACATAATTTGACATTTAATAGGCTTTTCCTTAATCCCTCCTTATTATCCAACATTTTCGCTTATCCAGCGTTCTGCCAGTCTGTTTATGTTGGATAAACGAGACTTCTGTGAGACAGGCAAAACCAAGTGTTACAAATATT